CAGTGGGGATGGGGCTGAGAACAGAACTAAGACAAGCCACATTCAAGGACAGCAGCTTCTAGGGGTCCCTTTTGAAGGGGCCAGTAAGAGTTCCAAAAACACAGTGACTTCAGAATTCAGATAATCAGACTGGCAGTGGAACTTTTCTCTTTAGGTGGTAGAGCAAGTATAGGAGTTTGGCCCTGACTTTGGTAAGAATATGATAAGACACTCTCCTCTTGCCCGGGGTTGATGACTCATCTTAGTGCTTTAAGTAATCATAGCCAAAAGTCCACTCTTGACTGTGATTATGATTTCTGTCTTTAATTTTCACATCCTCTGTTTAGTCCTCTAGCTACAGGCTTACTGGCAGCTGCAGACACTAGTGCGCTGGTGAACAAGGCTTTGGTAGATTTTAGGTGAGTTTACACGTCCCTGAAGGCAGTAGGCAAACAGCTATTTATGTCGGGTGAAGGCAAACTGCTTCAAAGGGTCTAGACAGCGACTGAGAAAAATGCATTAGTCAAGGTTTTAATGCATATAATTTTCCAGCAAAAGTATATATTTACTCCAATAACACACTAAGCGCTGCATTAGGAAAGATCTCCTTAGCATTTTACATCCTTTACTGTAATTGATATTAAATTCTGGATTGCTTTAAAAAATCACCTGAGTCACAGAGAGCATTGGAGGGCCCTGGATCTTCATTTGCGACGTGTGCCCAGTGTTAGGAACACACTTTAAGAAGCTGTGCTCTAGTGCCGGGCTCCTCACGCACAACCCAGGGGTGTGTGAGCCCGCTGGAGGCCTGTAAGAGAGAGGGCAGACCACTCGGGCAGTTTCTTTCCACAAACTAAATCTCTCCATTTTCAGACCTTTAATCTATTTAAGTTTTTTCAAACCTTTAATTTTTAAAAGAAACTTTTTTTCCCTCGAATGAATTCTTTCTCAGAAACCCAATTATAAATCAGAGTTCTGCTCTTGTTGCAGTCCTCATAGATCTCACCCCTTGTAAGGACCCTTGAAGCCCCCACCCTACAGAGCCCTGGGGCTCAGTGTGACAGGCCTCCAAGTATGCATATGAGGCCATCTACCTGTTCCTACCTTGGGTAGCTGGGCATTACTGACTCCTAGGGGCTCACGTACAGCAGGTGGTCAGTAAAGGGGTACTGAATTAGTGATGGCAACAATTTTGGGGGCACCCACCAGCTTCTGCTTTGGAGGGCTCAGGGAAGCCAAAATATTAAACCTTTTAGCTTCTTTTCATCAGCCCACATGCTTCTAGTTTCATTCTTGTTTAAATTTATACCCCACGTAGTCACAGAAAGTTTCTGGCAAACTCAATGTGAGACAGCTGATAAACTGACGCCATTTCTTTATGGTCAAAACTAGGTGTTACAGAAATAAACCCTTTCGTGTTTTATGCTTTGAGCTACCTCAAATCCATTTGGAAAGTAGCTAGGGAGTAAATAATGAATTATACATACTAAATAAAGTTCCATGCAAATCAAAATGTATCAACTTACAGCTAAGTGACCAGGTAAAGGGGGAGAAAGTAGCTGTCATGGCTAGGAATAATGCCTCCTGGCTGTGGAGTAGGGGCGTCACAGGATAGTTTATCTTGTTATATGTATAATTGGTTGGTTTTCTTCTGTGAATAAAGAAAAAGAGTTATGAAAGCAAGAAGATTGAGAAAGCAAACTGAAGTGTCTTCCATAGAGTTTGACTTGGAAGATTATGAACTTGATCTTTGTAGCTGACACAGGGCAATGCATCATGTGGGGACAGAGTCGTAAGGAGTTATTTGAGGTCGGGCATTTTCAATACCAAGTTAAGATTTATTGTGAATAAAGGGTGAATTTACAATTAGTGAGAAAAGATATCAAACTGTACCGCAGGCATTTTGTTTTCAAAAATCGTTTTTAAAGAGAATTGTTTGTCACTTGGTAAAGTTGCACACATTCAGTTTATTAATAAAGCTATTTTATGGTAAGTTGCTCAAGCATAATTTATACTGATCTAGGCCACATTTCTATAGCATTGCCTCACCTTGGTGATATGGTACCTAAAATTGCAGGTCATGATTTATCTGGGGTAATTTGATCTTAAAGGTTAATAAACTTCTGTTGAAGGTCAAATCTGTAAAATTAAGGACCTAAGTGATAAAGGAAAGAATTTTTTAACTCTCCTGCTTGGAAATTGTTTGCAGTGGGTAGGTAAATGGGAGTACAATCTTGAGTGTTCTCTGAGGCCTTGACTTGCCTCTGTTGGGACTCAGGAAGCACCCAATGAATAGCAGGGTGAACAGTAGCATCCTGCCCAAGGAAAGGCAACGTAGAGAGACTGAGGAGTCAGGATTTGGGGATTTAAAATATCACTTTTATTACTAGTAAAGCAGATATTGGGGAGTATGGTTTATATCTGTGGGCGAACAGGTTTCCTAGGACTGGACCTTGGAATTAGTTTCTCTAGTGATGGGCAGGGCAGGAACTGCAGGCTCCTCTCTGGAAGGAGCAGAGCAGAGAGCATGTTCTCTGCTGTGGGTGGCTCCAAAGAGAAAGGGAAGGTGAGGGCCAAGCCAGAGGTCACCAGACATTCTTGGTTCACAGTGTCCTTAATATCTCAGCACATTTTTTGTGTTGCCTTTAGGTCCACATAACAGTTGACCTAACAGTCCTGTTAAGTCAGTTAGGTCCAAACAACCTAACAGTTAGTAAGCTGGGTGTCTCACAAACATCATTGTCTTTCCCCTGAAGAGTATTCCATAGACAGTCCCTGTGAATTTGCTGTGGCACCCCAGAGTACTGTGGCACATAGTTTGGGAAATATGGTCTCCTTGAGAACTCAAAAATAAAGTCAAGTCATTCCTAATCCTCTTGAAAGAGGCTGAAGAGAATGAAGGAGAGCCAGAAGCATTACCCTGGTGGAACTCCCTCCACATGGAAGAAAGCAAGAGCAGAGGCAAGACCTGTACTCCACCTTCCTACCCCTCACAACTACCCCAGCATCTGGGTTTCAGCTCAGAGTAATCCTAGAGCTGATGTGACTGCCTAACCCAGGAGACTGGACACATGTATTCAGCATGTACTTAGAAGCTCTGCCTTTCAGTGTTCTTAGTTCCACATTAATCTTTGGAAGGGAAATGGAAAGAGAGGTGATAACCTCAAGGGCATATATAGAGTGCATTTCTATAGCCTACTTTTTCAATTCTGCATGCCCTGCGGTCAAATATTATGATGGCCAAAAATAAGCTTATTTTCATTTGACTAAGTTAGATGCAGACTGTCAGTTCAATAGAGCCTCTGAGCATACTTATTTTCTTCTTTGCCTGTAGCTCTAAATGGAAGCATGGTCTGCAGTTAGAAAAATGAGCAGCTGGGCCTTTCGTGTATACTCCTAACCCAACAGTAAAATGGCCACTCCTTTGTAAAGCAGAATTTCTTTTTTTTTTTTTTTTTGGTCCATTCAGTGAAATCTTTTTTTTTTATTTTTTTATTTTTTTGGCATATTATGGGGGTACAGATTTTAAGGTTTCAATAAATGCCCATTTCCCCCCCTCCCCCCAAAAGTCTGAGTCTCCATCATGACCATCCCCCAGATGGTGCACATCTCACTCATTATGTATGTATATACCCGCCCCCCTCCCCCCTCCCACCTGCCCAATACCCTATTACTGTAGTACCTATGTGTCCACTTAGGTGCTACTCAGTTAATACCAGTTTTCTGGAGAATATATCTGGTGCTTGTTTTTCCATTCTTGGGTGTAAAGCAGAATTTCTATTAATAATAAGAAGTAATACATGGTGGATTTCTAGCCATAAACAACTAAATATTTCCAATGTGTGCACCTCTCATTTAGACCACAGAGTGTGCACAGGCTGCATTAATAGCTTGAGTTTTCAAGTGTGCATTTCAGTCATTCAGATTGGCCTCATCAGTGAAATACTAGTATTAGCAAATCACGAATTGCTAAATGTGCAAAAAGAAATTACCAAAGTAATCAAGTATTTAATTCCTTTGTATTAAAATTGTATTGTGTCATACTCAATACATACTAATTTAAAAGTTTGCAAACTATGTCTGTGAAAATGTTTTACTATTTTACCTATACCCCTCTCCCCACTCCCTAAAAAAAAAAAAGAAAAAAAGAAAAAGCACTTTCAACCTGGAGAGTTTGCTCTGAATTACTCTCTTAGGAGTTGGTGATGTGGAACAGAAGACCTGAAGTGAGAAGGCTCCGGTTATGGGTGCCGCCACCCGTGGAAGGGAGTGGGTTAGGCACTTAGCAGGAGATGCTGGCAGCAACACGCCTGTGTAGGGAGGTCCAGGGGTCTTGAGAAGGGGCGTGCTAAGCAAGACAGATGCACTCAGCTTCACCTGCCATGCTGCAGGTGACCCTGCTGTCCCTTCCCTGCTGCATTGGCAAGTCCCACCAGCTCTGATCTCAACTCTGCTTCTCCCCACCCCACTTCCACCTGTGTGTCCTCAGTTCTTATTCTCCCATTCAGCTTCATTCTTACAGAGATCCTGACATCTTAAAGGAGCCTCTTAGGAGGCTCAGTTTCCTTATCAGTACAATGGGGATAATTAATAATCCCTGCCTACTTCATGGACTGATTATAAGGATCAAATGAGATGTGTGGTAAAGCATTTTGTTAACTGCAAAATGCTATATAAATGTCAGGTGTTATAAATCATTAGCTGGTCTACTCCTCTGCTAAAGCAGTTTCTGCAAATTTTAGTTACCCCCTGAACAATTCTTTGTCAAATAGCAAATGTAAATGCAGCTGTTTTTTCCTGCTTGGATTATGGTGGTTCCTTTGCAACTTTATGATGTAGGCTGAATCTTTAAGTACTCCTTTGGCTCATATCTCTTCCCCTGAACACCCGTGCGAGATCATAAGCCATAAAACACAGAGGCAGTAACTCCTTTTAATTGTCAGGAGTTCATCATTTGCTAAGTTCTAAATGCAGTCACTTAGGCACTCGCCTTGAAAAGCCTGTCTGTGTTTATTCCTTAGAGCCGAGACTGTGTGAAGCTGGGCCCTCCTGCCGAGGGAGAAGTCGTCCAAGTCAAGTGGCCCGATGGCAAACTCTACGGGGCGAAATATTTTGGATCAAATGTTGCACATATGTACCAGGTGGGTGCTTCCCTTTCTGTGATGCTTGCTGCGATGGACATGAGAAGCCAGAGGGAGATAGTGTGTCCAGTGTGAAGCAGCTCAGGAAGCCCCATGAATTGGGCACATCTCTTATTGTATGAAGGAGGCAAAGATTCAATGTCTGATGACCCAGGTTGATGCTCTGGAGCTTTATAGCCAAGTTGGACACTGGGAAACCCTAACAACATTTGATTGTAAGGAATGGTTTAATTGTAAGGAATATGGTTACACCCAAAAAGATAAATGACTAGTAGAAGACAGGCTGCTTTGATGCTCCGTGTTTTCATTATATGGGGAGAGACTAATTGGCTGGTTCACGTCACCTTCAGCCAAGATAGTGATGGCCATTCTTCAGCCAGCAGCCCCTGAATTGGGGCTTTTGACTGCTAGACATAAACCCCCAACCTGCCGGGCATCTATGCAAACCTAGACCATGGTGCATGGGCACAGATGTGGCCAATTAATGTGACAAAGAACTGGTGGTTATTCACCCAAGCTTAAGGAAGTGCTTGTTTAATGAAAAGTACAGCTATCAGTTTGACATTCTGTTTACTAGGGAACTCTATGTTGTATTAAAGAATATGTATACAATTAAAAACATGAAATTATTTTATTCCTACCAGAAATAAGAACGAGTTAAGTTCTAATAAGGGAAACAACATCAATAGCACATGTGCATTTATATTCCTTCAGAAAGGCTTTAAAAAGGGACAAATTTGTTAGAACCACAATACATGGTAGTATTTTCAGTAGCACTGTGGCAGAAATCAACATTCTCAGGCTAAACGGTAGAGTGAAAACAGGAAGATTGAAGTAAATGGAGAAAAAGCAAGAAGGTTCAGGCCTGTTAAGTTGAAAAACAGCTTGAGAATGATAAGACTGCCAGTTTCAACAGAGAAATTGTTCCAAGACTGATAAGGAGCCAGGGCTTAAATGGAAGAGTACATAATAAGACACTGCATCCAGAACTGGAGCACAGTGTATTTAAAGGTGTCCAAAGAAGTTTGAAGAACTTAGGAGAGAACATTTTTCATGGTCTAGAAAAAAACCTAGGGGAGTAGGGAGGGGAGGATGTGTACATACACATTGTGTGTATGTGTAAGGGTCATTTTCCCCTTTAGGTATGATATTGGTGATAGTGTTAAGTTGTAGATTCAGATTATTTATCATAGGGTAGGTGCTGGAGCTTCTTTGTATCAGAATATCCAGAATTAGGCAAAAAATCACAAGATAGGCTGATACTACTGGCGATTCCTGGAAAAGAAGCTTTACTACATCATTTGAAAGAAAATAAATATATTTAATTAAACAATAAGTGCAAAAGTGAGGCTTTTTATACATAGCAAAACTATTTACTACATGAAAAGTATCATATAATGAGGACATGTTAAAATTCAGGCTAATTAGTAATCAGTGTGTTCACTTCAGTTGAATTTATGATGTTCTCTCAACATAAAACTATAGGCATATTTATAGACTCAATGAAAAAGTTAAGACTAATATTAAAATTGTCTCTCAAGCACAAGTAGTTTAAAATTTCTCATTAAACCAAGTGGCCTTTTGAGATCATTTTATGTTTTGTGTCTAATTATTCAACTTCACCATTGAATAAGCAAAGACATTTATAAAAATAGATACAACTTCATTACCTACTGCACAGTGCTAAATATCCTAAGTATATGCATTTTTTGGCCCTCCCAGTATTCCTGCAAAGTAAGTGTTATTGATTCCTATTTTACAAATGGGGAGAAAAAGGCTCAATGAACAAATTTTTTATAATTTTTGATAAAAACAAATTTTTCATAATTTGTTCAAGAGCACACAGCTGGTAAAGAGAAGGGTCAGAATTTACTCTCAGCTCTGTTCCAAGTAGGGTAAACTACTATCCCTGCTTGCTGGAACTCTCTCTGATTTTAGTACTGAGAGTGCTGCATCCTGGGAGAGCCCTGAGACCCAGGACGGTTGGTCACCGTAGTCCTAGCATGGCATACTCCTTTTTAGTTTTGTAATTGCTTTTCCTCTTTCAGAATTTTCAAATGATCTAAAAAACAAAAGAAAGTTGGCACAGGTGGTTCTAGCTATACTCTCAAATAGCATAAATAAGACGACACTTTGGCTTAATTAAATATTAAAGAAACCATTGTGCTCAAACAAAGCCAGGAAGGAAATCCTTCCCATCTTTAGCCTTCCAGGAAGTGACAGCAGGAGTTCTCCTGTGACAGAGATCTAATCCCACCATATTGTTTAGCTTAGTCAAATGTTAGTAGCACGTGGATTGTAAGGAGATTAATTATATATTTTATCTTGATTAAGACAGTGATGGCTGTTCCTCAACCAGCAGCCCCTGAATTGGTGGCTTTTGCTTGAGAGACATATACCCCCTACCCCCGGGCACCTCATCTAGACCAGTCGTGCATTGACACAGATGTGGCCAGTTAATGTCACAGCAACTGGTGGTTATCATCCACCCAAGCTCTAGCGAGTACTTGTTTAATAAAAAGCACAGCCATTAGTTGGACATTCTGTTAATTAATACATGCAATATTTCAAACTTCAGCAGATTTTTTTAACATAGCCCCACCACATGACTTACCTTACCTTCTAACTAGAACTACAGCATATTTTTATATCTTAAAGAATTTAGACAAACAGAAAATTTAGAGACTTCAAAAATATCATATGGTTCAGCATTAGAACGAACATATTAGGTATTCCACCTGATTACAACACTTTTATGTTCTCCTGGAAGAGTTCATGTTGGGTTAAGCCTAACCCAGGTGCTCTAGTTTTCTGTTAGCCAGTGTCATTTACCTTTTCTCTATGAAAATCTCCTAAAATGTTGAAAAATTGGTTATGAAATTATTTGCTGCCATTTGGTTAGCATGAAAAAGTTTTAAATATTTTTGTTTTATCCAATTGAAATACGGAAAAATGCAGTAGAAAAAGAACAGAAAAATGAAAATAAGTAAAAATTAATAAAAAACCAAAAACAAACATTTTTGTTTTAGATGATAATGTATTTTTACACATTGATAAGGTTTACGTTATGAAGCTGAGAAACTGGATTTTCCTGGTCCATTTGATTGAATTTGACAGAAGTGAGTTTTGAAAGTTAACCCTTTGTACTCGCTTTTTTCTCGATTCCTTTATTCTTCTCAGGATTTAATTTTTTAAATACCCCAGATTTTACAAAGCGGGGCAGTAGAATAAAAAACTGGAGTTTCTTTTCATACAGACTTATTTATTTGGATTTTTTTATATTTCAAACTATTGACACATTCAAAGAGTAATTTTAATCTCTATAATTTTTACTGTGTCGAGTCACACTCGACATCCGAGTGCAAAGGGTTAAAGTTCTGTAAGAACTTGAGAAATTATTTTATCTGAGAGGATTTATCTGAGAGTAAATATATCATGTTTTCTTTCCCAAAGAGGAGCGGTTCTCCCTGTTACATTGTCAGGGCCTCTTAAAGAAACAAACAGCGCTGACAGACCCAGCCCGTCTTAATGCTACATTTGCCACAGTCTCCTGTTCTGTGAAATCATTTGATCAACGGCTACTTCTCTTTGTTTCTGCCTTTGTTGGATGAAGTTTTCATGTCCTATATTCTAAGATACCCATTTTCGAAAATTGTGGCCTATTTTAAAAATATATTTTGTTCTTAGTTGAATAAGGGAAAGACATTTTCCTACTTGGTTATTGCCTGGTTCCCTTGTTTGTTCTGCTCAAGTCCTTTTTACTTTTTGTGTAGTATTTAATTGAAATGCTTAAGAAATGGTCATTGCTTGCTTTTTAATGTATATCATGATGTCTTATTTTTCATTAGGTTGAATTTGAAGATGGATCCCAGATAGCAATGAAGAGAGAGGACATCTACACCTTAGATGAAGAGTTACCCAAGAGAGTGAAAGCTCGTTTTGTAAGTGCTGGCAAATGCCACTCGGGACCCGCCAAGCGAATTCTTCATCCTCTCCCAAAGTTTCCTAAGCATGGCAGTGGATATACTTAAGCCTTTGGATTAATTTTGAAGAAAGCCAATGCAATTTTTTCCTTATTGAAACCTATTGAATGCAAACTTCAAATTTGCCCAAAAATAGAGAAACTAGTGCATGTACCTCACTTTTCTTCTAACGAAGTCAAATGATGATTTTTTTGTGTTAACATTTATTGACACACAAAAATAGTTATTGAAAACATACATGCTCCTGGCAAAGCACTAGGAATGCGCAAAGATACCACCAAGGCATTTGAAATCTTGTAAGTATAAGCAACATTAAAAGAAAGTGTCCAGTAGTAGATCTGAGGGGACTAGGTGTAACTGTCTAGTCTCCTGTAGCCTTGTATACATTGACTAACTTCTGTCTCAGAAGATCACTAATCTTTGTTATTAGTTAATAATTAAACTAATTATTTAATTATTAGTTAATAATTAAACTAATTATTCTCACTTTCATAATAAAAAAGATAAAGCTTAAATACCAGATATGGGAATACTAAAGCAGTTTTTTGAGGTTTTTTGTTTTGTGAGACAGGGTCTCCCTCTGTCACCCAGGCTACAGTGCAGTGGTGTCTTCATAGCTCACAGGAACCTCAAATTCCTGGGCTCCAGCAATCCTCCTGCCTCGGCCTCATGAGTAGCTGGGATTACGTTTGTCTGCTGCCACGCCTGGCTGATTTTTCTATTTTTTCTAGAGACAGGGTCTCTCTCTTGCTCAGGCTGGTCTCGATCTGGCCTTAAGCAATCCTCCCTCCTTGGTCTCCCATAGTGCTAGGATTACAAGTGTGAGCCACCACACTTGGCCGAGAGCAGTTTTTTAAAAAAGAAAATATTAGTTTCAAGCCCTTATCTACCATTAAAAGATAAACAAACATGGACAAGTAATCAAAAGTGAAGTTGTTAAAAAATATAATTCACAATAATTTAGGTTTCATATTATTGTATTATAAAATATTTAGTGGACCCTGAAATGAAGTTAGTTTTACTTATTTAGAATTACATCTACTGCATCTGTGAAACGATAAACGCTGACCAGGGAAGTTTGAATGGATGATTTTTTCTGACTAAAATGAAATTTTTTTTCTGAATAAATGACACTCTTTGTTTTCAATGCATACTTATGTATACCTATCTGTAGTGATAGAGTTACTATAGATTATTTGGTTATTTAGGGAGAATCAAGGGTTTCCTTAATGTTCAGTTGTAAATTCAGCTCCTTTCACATCAGGTGGGATCCTGACAGCAGGGTGACTGCATCGGGTGGGTACTGTCCTTCCTCAGCTGCGTCCTGAGGAAGGCCCTTCTGAGGGAAAAGTCAAGAGAAGAGTGATAATAACGGTACTGCTACCCACTCCATGAGAAATGGGGCTCAGAGGAGACCCACACACCTCTAAATAGATTAACCACCAGATCATAATGGCAAGGAAAGAGAAAATTAAATATTCCTATTGTAAAGACATCAGCTACATCTTAACAAAAGACCTAAAAAACCTAGATAACTTGTCAGCATCCTGAGACCTTGAAATCTCTTGAGAAAAACTTTCCTTTTCAAGATGTTAGAGATGGCTGCCTCTCCTTCTACCTTCCTGACTTCCATGGACTCTCCTCTTCCCTTTCCCCCTTTTTCCTTTTCTGTAGCACCTAGAGCAGGGGTCCTCAGACTTTTTAAACAGGGGGCCAGTTCACTGTCCCTTGGACCGTCGGAGGGCCAGACTATAGTTTTAAAAAAACTATGAACAAATTCCTATGCACACTGCACATGTCTTATTTTGAAGTAAAAAAATAAAACGGGCAAAAACACCCACATGTTCCACAATAGATTTGGCTCAGGTAACCAAGATGCCTTCCCCTGTGGCTTTATCAGAACACAGCCCCTGAGTTTTCTAAGGTTCATTTCTCTGAACAAGCACACCAGCATTTACCTTTTGTTAAATTTAATTCTTGGAGGAAATTTTTTAATTAAAAAAAAAAACAAAACAATAAGTCACCTACATACTTAATGCAGCCTGTTATGTGAGCGGCTGTGTCTAGCAGAAAACATCTTCAGGAACAGAGGCTCACAGTCACTAAATCCAGCTTGCCACCTCTGTCGTTACTGAATCGAAGATGTGCGCACGGCTGTCGTAGCCGGCCGGCTGTCCCTTCAGGTTGGAGCTAGCCCCTCTGGCCCTTGGTTAGTCTGTCCCTGATTGCTGTTTTTTTCCAGTTGGTGAAACGAATGTAATTGGAAAACTCATTGACGGAAGGTATTTTATGGTTAGAGAAATCTTTTCTGTTTTTTAAGGAGGTAGGTTAGCAGCCCTCATCAGGAGCCCCTGTGTTTTAATGACTTTGGCTCACCCAGACACACGCTGACGAGGGGAGAAATTTTTCAAGAGAGTCAGCAGTCCACCTCAGCGATTGTGCCGGGTTCTTTCCACTCACTTCAGAAACGGCCCCATTACCTTTTATTGTCTTACGGAACAGCCATAGCAACAGTGCATAATTAGCTAGCGCTCCTGGTAAATCGGTTTTATTATTGTATTTGAGAGGCTGACTTTTGCTATTTCCACACAGTGGTAACACTTTCATTGATGTTTTATTTTCTCCTTTGATAACTTTAGCACTTATAAAACTGAAAGATTACTCAGAGGAAGTATTTTGCCAAGAATGAATGAAACCACAGTGTTTTCCCCTAACGGCAGAGGGTACCTAATCAACTCCCAATCTCTTAGTTTTCTTCCCCAGTGAAAGCAGGCAGTGTCTGGGGGAGCCCGTGGAGGTAGACTGTCACCTGGGCAGCTGTCTCATGGGCTGACGGGGAACACGGACAGCTTTACAGTTGAGTCCGTGTTTAGTTTCCAGGCTTCTTCGTGCTGTTCCCTTGTTTTTCTCTTCTTCACAATGGAACATGTGTTTTCAAATCTTAAGAGCAGGATTCTGCCCCTGTCACCAACCAGGGGAGGTAATCTTGGTGACATCATGAGATACACTGTGTGTTAGTGTCATGAGAAGTCATCCACCTCAGTGAAAACCAATTGGGATGCATTTTAGGAGGCAAAATAGTAGGAAATTAGGAAGCAGAAATAATGCTTTGCTGTAGTCTGTAGGCTTTTCCTATCACAGAAAAGCCCACATGCCTTCACTCAGCAAACACTGAGCAGTGACTGAGTGCTGGGCATGTTTGTGTTGGGAGCACATGCACAGTCGGGTGCTTAGTCCCTAACGTCCTCCCTCTTACAGGGTTCCCCTGAGGGGGAGAAACTTCCCTGGCCCTTACCTCTGCACTGCCCGCCTTCCACTGTGCTGATATGTAGAAGGTTACGGGAGCCCAAAAGAAGGGCCCTCTAGTTTGCCTGTGCAGAAGATGGAGTCTCTTCCATGGAAAGGAAACAGTGTGTCCAAAGGCAGAGAAGTATGAGGCCCTGAGCAGAAGGTGTGGCCAGGACCTGCAAATAATTCAGTCTAACTGGAGCATGGGGTAGGATCGTGCCAGGTGATGAAGGTCCAGCCTAGAGGAGTGTGGGTATCATTTTAAAAACTGTAGAGCTATTGAAAAAATATGAGCAAGAACATATAATCACATAGAGCCATATAATAAAAGAGCTTCTAGAGAGTTTGCTTCTAGTGGTTCTGTGGGAAGTAGGTTGGAGGTGCAGCATTATTGCGTGGTTTGGAGAAGTGTAGGGGCCTGCTCCGTGGGGTCAGTGTAGGGATATAAAGGAGAAAGGATGGAGGGCTTTGGGGTACCTGTAGGAGAGACTTTGGATAGCATGGGGACAAGGGGGAAAATCTATAGTGATTTTCAGATTTCTGACCAGTACAACTGGATGGGTGGGAAAGACAGTGCCATTTATGGACTATGGGGAGGACAGAGAAGGAGAAGGAATACTTTGAGTTCAGTTTAGGACAGGTCGATTTGAAGTGCCTCTGAGATGCCTGCTGGGCAGGTGGGTGCCCGGCCTGAGCACAGGAGAGCTGAGCTGGCGCGAGACATGTGAGCATCCTGGAGCCCATGCGGACGTTGAAGCCACGAGTATGGGCACAAAGGCCTGGGAGCACACGTGGGGAGGAGAAGGCCAAACACGAAAGCCAGGGGCATCCGAGTAGAGCAGATAGTCAAGAAAGGGAACCCCTGAGACATCAAAAATGAGCAGCCAGAGGAAGAAGAGAAGCAGGAGGAAGGGTTTACAAAATGACAGAGAAGAGAGCTCTAAGTAGGTAGGTGGCAGAGCAGTCAAGTCAACGTAGGACTGACTTAGAACACTTTGGGACACTTAAAAAAGTGTCATAGGAATTAGCAACTAGGACTTCAGCAAGAACAGTTTCGCAGAAGGGGCAGGGGCCGAGGTGCAAAGGTAGATAGGAATAGAGGTGAATTAGAGATGACCGTGCACAGATTTGTCCAAAACCGGGTTGAGCAGGAGCCAGATGGAGAGTGAGGGAGATTTGAAATGAGAAGGCTTTAATCCTGCTTCTGTTTGGGGATGGCCCGTAGGCCTGGGGGATAGGTTGGGGATCGTGGAGAAAGTGGAGCTAAATGGAGCCCCCTCTCCTCACTAGACTGAGTCGGGTGGGGGAGGTGAGGGAGAGTCCAGAGCCTTGGCTGGGCCAAGGCTGCTCCCGTGAGCTGGCAGTCCCGGCCTCTGCACCCCAGACCCCGCTGACGGAGTCAGACCTCTGTGCAGTCCTGTGAAGGTCAGATGCCACGCCCTTCTGCAGTGTAACACTGGCTGCTTTTAGTCCACAGCCTCTGACATGCGATTCGAAGACACGTTTTATGGAGCAGACATAATCCAAGGAGAAAGAAAGAGACAAAGAGTCCTGAGCTCCAGGTTTAAGAATGAATATGTGGATGACCCTGTGTACCGCACTTTTTTGAAGAGTTCCTTCCAGAAGAAGTGTCAGAAGAGGCAGTAGTCTATGTATGCTGCTGCGGGCAATAGATCAACTTGGGTCGCAAGAGGGAAGATGAGGCGACGGCCTTGGTGCTGTGCCGGGGGTCCCGCTGGGGTAGGTGATGGAGTGCGTCTCTGACAGTAGTGAATCGAGCTTCCAGAGTTTGGTCACCAAAAATACAAAATAGACATATTATTAATTGGATGCAGCAATCTGAAGTCATCCCCTAGTCTTGCTTTTTACTTATAAGCAATTTTCTTCTATGATGATCCCAAAGAATTTTTCTAAGTGAAAGGAAATACTAGTGGGTTGCCCACTAGATAAAGCCACTGCCAGGAAGGAGGAGGGTCCCCGTGTGCGGCTCATGCCCCTGGTCAGGAAACACACGGAGACGTCTCTCCCCCAGCTCCAGCAGGTAGCAGCCTCGTTACCCAGGCGGGAGGTGATAATTTATATATTTTCCACAGTCAGGGAAGTACTCTCACTTACTTGTTTTAAATGGCAGTTTTTATAAAACATTTTTAAGACACAAATGGCATGTATGGTAATGAGATTTACCCGTGTGCTATCTGTATTTCCCTTGTACAGAACTTTTACATTTTTTTATATTCCTATTACTTTTGATTGTGTCTGATGAGAACTGAGTTGTTGGCCTTTGTGAAATGAAATTTTCGGCTCTTGAGGAAGAATTCTTATGAATTGTATGGGAATTTTATATATTTAAAGAGGGAGATCTGGGGCTGTTATTTTTAAACACTTTTTTTCATAATACATATTCTGAGTAGATATTTATAAAATACGTTTCTTTCATTATGTGTTTGTAAAATTAGAGTTTAAATAAATATGCTTTGATGCATAGTTTTGAACTAATGTAACATGATTTTTTTTCTTTTTAAAACAGCCTGAAAATGTACTAGTGTTTAAAAATAAAGATTTCCATTTTCTCCAGTCCTGTCTCCGACTTGCTTATTTGTTTGGGTTTAAACCCAATAGAAAAACAAGTTTTGTTGGGGAGTTGGCTATAGACATACAGTAGCCCACCCGGTTCCTAGCTGTGGGCACGTTTGTGGCAATGCCATTGGGAGTGAAGGCTCGTCTGCCTGTCCTCCCAGTGCCAGCTCACGTGTTTTCCTCAGCTCCTTCTTCTAGGCCCTGAAGAAATCTCAGACCCTTGAGTCTGGATCACTCTTCATCCCAGGTCTCCTGGCCCCCACTTGTCATTAGAAGAGATCTAGAGGTCCTCCAGTCCCTCCCTCCTTGTATAAACGAAGAGTGAAGGACAGGCAAGGAAAGGGATGGCCCAAGGGCACACGGTTTTTAGTGACTGCTTCTGTTAACCAGGGTCACAATTTTGCTGCATAACAAACAATTGCAACTTCTTAGTGGCCTGCAGCATTTATTTTGCTCAGGAGTCTGCAAGTTGGCTGGTCTAGGCAGGCCTTGGCTGGGCAGCTGTGCCGACCTTGGCTTGGGCTAGCTCCCATCTGGTCCCCGTGTCTCCCATCATCCCTGTGGACCCAGTGGGCCAGCCCCAGGTATGTTCTCTCTTGTCAGTGGCAGAGAGCAGGCGAGCCTAGCCAGGCAAGCCCATTCGAGTCCTCTGTAGGGTGTTGGTTAATATCCCATGGATGAAAGCCTAGGGACAGGGACTGGAGGGCGGTGAAGGGCGGGGCCGGGCACTTCAAAGTCTGATGGCAAAGGGTATAGATGTATCTTGTTACCGAGTAGAGAGTGAAGAACTGAAACAGTCATGACAGAGCCACAGCTAAAACTCAGCTCTCAGTCCTCCTTGGCTGGGTGCTCATTTTCCAGAGTGCCTCATGGCTGAACTCTGGGCTGGGGTGGAGCCCACCAGCCATATTTTTACAGAGGCTGAGCACTCCGCATTCTCTACCAGTGTAGTCATATATCTGATCAAGCAATCAAGCTTGAATTTTCTATCTCTGCGTTTTGACTAGAACTGACCTACTCTCTCCATGACATGCCAGGAAAGTAGGCCTGCGTAAGGCATTAAGAAGAATTCATCTAAATAGGATCATTCGTTCTGTACAAGTTTGCCTGTCAGCAAGATTTCTGATTGGCTGCCACAGGGAGAAAATGTGCAGAGTCCTATGTGATCTCAAATACAGCTGTTTTTTTATGGTCTCACTTAACTAATGTTCCTATAACCAAGTACAGCTGTATATGGCCTTAGCAAAACAGTGCTGGCCACAGATACATTCTGGCTAATGAGAAAGGCACCTTTGTTTCACTGTGTTCTGCGTGAAGTGGTTACTAGCTCTATGACCAGACAGACTGTTAAACCTTTTTCACTTACTATATGACACCTCAATTGTAATTCTAATTTCTTTGTGTTACACAAACTATATTTTTAGCCTATACGTATAGCAGAGAATCAGTCCTTCTAGTATTTTTTTAAAAATTGCTTAGCTGTGACAATTCTAATACAATACTAATCACAAGCCCTCTCTCTGGAGGTTAAGGGATTAGGAAAAGCTGTGTGGCATATTTCATAACATTTTTATTCCTTTATGTGTGTTTGAAATGAGAACAATGTGATCCTTGTCAGTTTACTTTGATTAAGGGACTTTTTTTTCTTTTAGTTCAACTAGAGAGAAATTGAGAAGCAGCATCCACTAAAGTATCATTTGGCTTCTCAGAATATATTATAAATTGCCACTGGGTCATACTGTGTGAAAACGTGGAGCCTCAGAATGCAAAACTATGTAGAAATGAAAGGGTCTGCCACTTCTCCCTGTCCCCTTCCCATGTGAAACAAGGCTGTTCATGCACGTGGTACTGTAAATGCCCTGGAGGCCTCATGAATAATTATGAGAGTAAGTATCTGCTGCAAGATAACATTGTGCTTTATTTGTGCCTTTAAGTAAAAGGGATCTGAAATGAAACAATCTTCATTTCAGATATAAATCAGCCTCATAAACTTGAAGCTAACCAGAGATCCTGAGGCATTCTCATTATAGGAAGTAATTGGTTGGTTGCAAGACTCAATTGTACTACAAAGTCTTTCTGAGAATTCAGATGTGCAGTCATCTGAAGTGTTACACATTCCCTCGCCCAGCGTGCTGTAGCATTGACCAGTGGGGAGAATGATTTCTGGCCTCTTAGGAGGCCTGAACACTCCAGCAAGTGGGCTGATGACTCAGAAACCCCATGCTCCATCCTCTAAACGTACAGGTCCCTTTGAGGAAATGAAACTTCATCAAGAGCAGCTGATATTATTGATGTGTTGAGCATCTGTTGTGTACATCCAGCCTTGTAGGCTCCTTGTTGGCATTTATCTTATTTAACTTCCCCAATAAATCAGCAAAGTACCATTACCCTCTTTTATAAAGTGAAACTCACGCTCAGAGAGGTTAGGTAACTTTTGTATCACTCATCCTTGTCTGTGTGTGAAGAGAAAAGGGATCCTAAGTCTGACCTAAACAAAAGACACTGGAGAGATTAGTCCGAAGTTCAAAAGAAAGGTGAACACTAGATATATATATGTGGAAGGCATTATCTTTATGGGTAGACATTAAAAAGGACATGAACATTATCTTTTGGCAAAGGCAAAACTATAGGGACAGAAAACAGATCTAGTGGTTGCCAAGGACTGGAGGTGGGGAGATCAAGGAACTTTTTCAGGGTGATGGAAATTATCTTAATTGTGAGAATGGGACCAGGACTGTGTATGTTTGTCAAAATTTCAAGAACTGAACACTAACATGGGTGAATGTTATATATATTGTACTTCAATAAACATGACTTTAAAAGAGACAAGTAGAAATGTAGGGGAATGGAGGGCAGGCTACATTGGGAGAGAACACGTGGCATGAGCAGAGCAGTGAGCAGAGATCAGAACCCAGGGAATCGCTAACCGTAGCTGGGTGGGAACAGGAGCCTGTGAGTGGTGCTGGCTGGAAAAGGTGGCGAGATGGGAAACCCAGGATACCATGGAAGAGAGTGTTTCAAAAAGGAGAGGTGGTCAACAGAAAACGCTACAGAGTCCAAGTAAGATCACGTTATTGTCAATTAGGAGGCCAATAGTGTCCTTGGTGAGAGCATTTCTAGTGGTTTTAGATGAGAAATCTGTCCTCCAAATTGGTGTTCCTCTATTAGTAATGCATTGTTTGTCTCCCTAGCTGCTTTTAAGATTTTCTTCTTTGTGTTTAGTTTTCAGCAGATTGATAATGATGTATCTTGGCTTTGATTTCTTAGGGTTTACCCTGCTTGGAATTTGTTCAACTTCTTTTTTTAAATTTTTTTATTTTAGTATATTATGGGGGTACAAGTGTTAAGGTTACATATATTGCCCATATCCCCCCCCCAGTAAGAGCTTCAAGTGTGTCCATCCCCCAAACGTTGCACATCTTACTCGTTGTGGTTATATACACCCATCCCTTGCTCCCCCTCCCACCCTCCCAACACCCGATAAACGTTACTCCTATATGTCCACTTAGGTGTTGATCTGTTAATCCCAATTTGCTGGTGAGTACATGTGGTGCTTGATCTTTCACCAAATTTGGAGAATTTTCAGCCACTGTTTTTTGGAATACACACACACACATACACACACACACACACACACATACACACTGCAGTCCTCAATCCCCAGGCCACAGACCAGTACCAGGCCACAGCCTGTTAGGGACTGGGCCACAGAGCTCCCCATCCCCAATCCATGGAAAATTGTCTTCCATGAAACTTAGGAACTTGGGGGCCCGGTAGCAGGAGGTGAGTGAGCAAAGCTTCATCTGTATTTACAGCCACTCCTAGTTGCTCATATCATCGCCTAAGCTCTGCCTTCCCCAGCCGCCCCCCATCCGTGGAAAAATTGTCTTCCATGAAACTGGCCCATGGTACCAAAAAGGTTGGGGGCTACCATCTATACACACACATTCTCTCCTTCTGGAACCTCAGTGATACAAATGTTTGGACTTTTGTTGTTATTCCACAAATCCCTGAGGATATTTTAAGTCTATTTTCTCTCTGTTGACATTGGATAAATGTTATTGATCTGTCCTCAAGTTTCTCCTCTTCTCCAAGACCTTCCTTCCATTCCTCTGTTTTCTCTCCAAACTATTACTGAGCCAATTGAGTGAGCATTTTTTATTTTGATTATTATATTTTTCAGTTTTAAAATTTCTATTGGTTTATCTTTTATAGCTTCTATTCCTTTGCTGAAATTTTCATTTGTTTCAAGAGTGTTCCTAATTGTTTGCTGAAGCATTTTTAAGATGTCTGCTTTAAACACATTGTTGGACAATTCCAACATCTGGTTTATCTTGTCTGATGACTGTCTTGATTGTCTTTTCTTGTTTAGGTTGTGATTCTCCTGCTACTTGATATGACAAGTGATTCAGTTGTAACCTGGACATTTTGGCTATTATGTTAGAAGACTATATCCTATTTAACTCTTTTCTCTTAGTAGGCAGCCACCCTGTTTAGGTTTGGTGCTCCGGTCCTGGCCTATTTTTGTGGGCTGTGGTTCCTATGACAATTTAGTTTTCAGAGCTTTACAGTACTCATCCGATCTGCTGCTTTTCTGTGCTACCTAGAGGCCACTCTGAAAACCTGGGTGCTATTCCACACTTTAGTTCAGTCCCCCAACCTTTGATGAGTTTTAACGCAGGTCAGTTTCATGAGTGGGGTGGTCAGCAAGTTCCTGTGCAGGTCTAAAGAATCCCTTTCTCTAGCTCCCTCCTCTCCAAGATCCTCCTTCCATTCTCTAGTTGGGTGGGTGAGGGGTCCTGCCTGTCCCTGCTGGGAATCCCACTCAGTCTCCACTGACATTATTCTGTCAGTGAGAGAAATGCTACTAATTTGGGGACTGGGGATCTAGATTTTCCATGCAGTCTCCACCCACAATGCTGGGAGGTGCAGGGGAAGAAGCATTGTCCTGGGTCACTTGCTGCCACTAAGTATGGGGCAGAAATGCAAACTCCCCT